AAATATTTAAAAATATCTTACTGGCAAAGACAAACAGTTTGAATGATGGAAGTCAATACACAAAGCAAGTAGAATCAAAATTAAGTAAGAATCATCTGATAAAGTAGACAGAAGCAAAATCAGTCAGAAGAAGTAAAGAAGATTACTATGTATTGGTAAGGGAAACAATTCATTAAAATTTTAATGAGGGGCTGGAGAGATGGCTCAGTGGTTCAGAGCACTGACTGCTCTTGCAGAGGACCTGGATTTGGTTCCTGGCATCCACATGGCACTAACAACTCTCTATACTTCAGTTCTAGGGGATCTGTCACTTCTTCCAGCCTCCATGGGCATTGCACTTATAGGTGCATTTACACACATGCAGGCAAAAGAGGTATACACATTATATGTGTGTGTGTAAATGTGTATCCACCAGACATTGCTATACACAATTTAATAAACAGGCCCAGCTACAATAAAAGTGGATGTGCTGGGCATAGAGACATACAGCAAGGAAGCAGGAAAGAAAATCAATATACAAAATCAGTAACTTTCTATAAATCACAAATGAACTCATTGATAAAGAAATCAGGAAAAATTCTACTTATAATAGCCTTAAAAATGAATTGTCTAGGCATAAACCAAGGAGGTGAAAGACCTTAACTATGAAAATTAAAAAGCACAGAAAAAAGAAGAAAACAGTACAAGATGGAAAGATCTCCCATGTTCATGGATTAGGAGAATTAATATCACTAAAATGGCTGTAGTAGCTGGTAGTGGTGACATATGGTTGCAATATCAGCTCCAGAGAGGCCGAGACAGGAAGATCATGAGTTCAAGGCCAGTCTGGGCTACATAGCAAGTTCCAGGATAGTCCAGAATATATAGGAGCACATTGTCTAAAAGAAAATCAGAAAAATCTGTACAAAACTATCTACAGATTGTAATGCCCTTCAAAATACCAACAAGGTTCTTCACAAAACTAGAAAAACCAATCCTAAAATCCGTTTGGAGGCATAAAATGCTCTGACTAGCCAAAGCAATCTTGTGCAGAAAAAGCCAGTGGCATCATAATATCTGATTTAAAAAATATACCAGAGTCATAGGAATAAGAAGAGCATTGCATTGGAATAAGAGCAGACATGTAGTTCAGTGGAATAGAACAGACAACTGAGGAATAATAAACCATGCATCTACAGCCATTTGATTCTTGACAAAGGTGTCCAAAACATTTTGGAGAGAAGAGAATCTCTAACAAATGATGCTGGGAAGACTGGGTGCTCTCATGCAGAAGATTGAAAGTAGGTCTCTGTCATTTAAAAAAATATATTTTCTTTATTTATGTGTGTGAGTGTATTGTCTGCATGGATGTAAGTGCACCCATGTCATACAATACTCGTGGAAGTCAGAAGAGGGCATCAGATCCCCTGGAACTGGAGTCATGGATGGTTCTTAGCTGCCATATGGGTGCTGGGAACCAAACCCAGGTCCTGTGTAAGAGCAGCCAGTGCTCTTAACTGCTGAGCCATGTTTCCAGCCCCCATGTCCCTATCTTTCATTCTGGACAAAAATGAACTCAAAATGGGTAGAAGATCTTGATGTGACGCTTGAAACTTGTTATTACTAGAGGGAAAGTGCTTCAAAATATAACTGTCGGGACTCTGGCATGCTTTTCTCAGCAGGGGGACCTGTTGGCTTTGGGGAAGAGAGACTTGATCGGTGACAGAGTCTTGGACCCTGGGACTTGTCTTTTCAACAAGCCATTTATTTCAAAGTTCACATGGTTTTTATACATCCCAAGGAACTGGCAGTCATGTGGGATATGGCAGTCACATACAAAGATTTAGGGTACAAAGAAACAGGACATTAAGTCTGTTAGGTGGCACCAGAAGGATGCTTAAGCTTTTACTCAAAGTTATCAATGCTCATCTGGTAATTTATTGGCCACAATGTTTTCTTTCTTAGAGTTAGAAGCATGGTAAACTTTTAGCTTTTAGCTTAAGAGTAAACCTTTAACCTGGCCTAATCTCTTAGCTAAGGATAGCTGAGTTATTTGTTCAGGACAAGGAGATGAGCTAAGGGTTGTTGAACAAGA